ACACACACAGACGGCCGACAGAATACCGTGACCAGGTGTTCAGTGACACACACAGACGGCCGACAGAACACCGTGACCTGGTGTTCAGTGACACACACAGACGGCCGACAGAATACCGTGACCTGGTGTTCAATTACATACACAGACGGCCGACAGAACACCGTGACCAGGTTTTCAATGACACACACAGACGGCCGACAGAATACCGTGATCTGGTGTTCAGTGACACACACAGACGGCCGACAGAATACCGTGACCAGGTGTTCAGTGACACACACAGACGGCCGACAGAATACCGTGACCAGGGGTTCAATTACATACACAGACGGCCGACAGAACACCGTGACCAGGTGTTCAGTGACACACACAGACGGCCGACAGAACACCGTGACCTTGTGAGATAATCACTGGCGGGTTCACGGGGTTTTGACGGACCAGCCCTAAACGATTGGACTCGACAAAACAACCGGGCACAGAGAGGTGTGAGGAGAGGTGTGAGGAGAGGTGTGCCAGACTTTAGGATGGCGACATGTGCTGTATCTGACCGCTAGATATTTGCTGTGTTGGAATTAGATTATCGACAGGTATTGGGTGACAATGCGTTTAGTCAGACGACAAAATACGTTTAGTGTTACCCGGTGTTCAGCTGTTGTGTGTACTTATGTAACAATCCATTTATATGCCAAACATTGCGGTAGCGATGTTAGTTCGCGAAGAGTTCTGTCTGGTTATGTGACAAGGTCTGTCCACTCACACTAGCCCAGTTTCACTGCTGTCCCAGTATCATTTATCTGAGCGCAGAAAAGAACCTGAATCGAAGCCTTTGGTTCAGACTAAGGATGGATATGTATGATCAGACGGTGTTGGGTAGAATGTGTTCTAGCGATAGGCATTTCTGTCACAAACCTACCCAAGAACCAAAAGCCTTCACGGCAGTAAGTAGATTCTTGACATATATCAATTGCCGACATGATGTTTAACTGCACTGAAGATAAATTGATGTACTCTTACCAAAGTGCCGGCGTGGTGTTAAACTCATGCACTGAAGAAACATTGACATACATTTACAGAAAAAAGTTGAAATGATGTTTAACTTCTGCACTGAAGATACAGTGAGGTTAGTTAGTTTGTTGTGTGTATCCTTTCCAGGACGTTGCAGAACCAACCCAATAATTTGTTAGTTGTTGTGGGTTTTTTTTAGGCACGTTTGAGTCCAGTAATTTGCTTATTGGACGGTCGGCTTCTCTAAAGCAGTGTCGAAACAAACGCAAGACGCAAGGCACGCAGCTGGGATCGAACCCGACACCCCGGCATTACGAAACGCATTCGCAACGCCTAAGCCACAAACGTCGACACATTGAGGTACACTTACACAAAGTGATGACATGATGTCTAACTTACAAAAAGTGCTAACATGATGTCTAAACTTACACAAAGTGATAACATGATGTCTAACCTACACAAAGTGCCGACATGATGTAACTTACACAAAGTGCTGACATGATGTCTAACTTACACAAATTGCTAACATGATGTCTAACCTACACAAAGTGCTGACATGATGTCTAACTTACACAAAGTGCTGACATGATGTCTAACTTATACAAAGTGCTGACATGATGTCTAACTTACAAAAAGTGCTGACATGATGTCTAACTTACAAAAAGTGCTGACATGATGTCTAACTTGCACAAAGTGCTGACATGATGTCTAACTTATACAAAGTGCTGACATAATGTCTATCCTACACAAAGTGCTGACATGATGTCTAACTTACAAAAAGTGCTGACATGATGTCTAACTTACACAAAGTGCTGACATGATGTCTAACTTATTCAAAGTGCTGACATGATGTCTAACTTACACAAAGTGCTGACATGATGTCTAACCTACACAGAGTGCTAACATGATGTCTAACTTATACAAAGTGCTGACATGATGTCTAAGCTACACAAAGTGCTGACATGATGTCTAACTTACACAAAGTGCTGACATGATGTCTAACCTACACAAAGTGCTAACATGATGTCTAACTTATACAAAGTGCTGACATGATGTCTAAGCTACACAAAGTGCTGACATGATGTCTAACTTACACAAAGTGCTGACATGATGTCTAACTTACACAAAGTGCTGACATGATGTCTAACTTACACAAAGTGCTGACATGATGTCTAACTTACACAAAGTGCCCACATGATGTCTAACTTACACGAAGTGCTGACATGATGTTAAACCTACACAGAGTGCCGACATGATGTCTAACTTACAAAAAGTGCTGACATGATGTCTAACTTACAAAAAGTGCTGACATGATGTCTAACTTACACAAAGTGCTGACATGATGTCTAACTTACACAAAGTGCTGACATGATGTCTAACTTACACAAAGTGCTGACATGATGTCTAACTTACAAAAAGTGCTGACATGATGTCTAACTTACAAAAAGTGCTGACATGATGTCTAACTTACACAAAGTGCTGACATGATGTCTAACTTATACAAAGTGCTAACATGATGTCTAACCTACACAAAGTGCTGACATGATGTCTAACTTACACAAAGTGCTGACATGATGTCTAACTTACACAAAGTGCTGACATGATGTCTAACTTACACAAAGTGCTGACATGATGTCTAACTTACACACTGATGACAACTCCACTTGTCTGCAGCGATCAGAAGACGACAACTATCACTGAGAGGATGTCCAATCTTAGCCAGGCAACTGTCATGGTAAGCTCGGCAGCAAACCCGACAGGCCCTCACGAGACTGCCCGTGTACACCTCACAGATGTAGCAGATGTCGTCGGGGCACGGCTGTAAAGTCAACAAACACCGTTCTAAAGCTTCGCTAGCCATTGTGTCTTGCAATGTCTCTAACGTTCATCAACCCACACATGATAATCTCACCCCAAGATAATAATCTCACCGTACAGACACGCTACACACGCACGCACTCACACGCGTCATACCAGCATTACATATTGTCATACCCATTATAGATAAATCTATTTGTTCTTTTCCCCATGAAGCACGTTAGAAATAGAGAGATAGAGAGAGAGAGAGAGAGAGAGAGAGAGAGAGAGAGAGAGAGAGAGAGAGAGAGAGAGAGAGAGAGAGTCAGAGAGAAAGTGAAAGAGAAAGAAATCAACATTATTATTAATATTTCCCCAGACATTCATCCAAGTGAGAAGTGGATACCAGAGTCTAAAGCGCCCAATCTCACATTCTCCTGTGTCGTCCCGCTCGATGGGAGTCGTCGGGAGCAGAATCCAGTTGCTGTCAATGCCGAGGTATGCGCGCTTATCAACGACAAGTCAGATGAGACAGATGTGGTGATCTTCACCGACGGGTCCGTTTTACTAAGACATAAGAGTGCATGGGCATTTACAGCTCGCTCTTCAGGCAGAACAGTTAAGGAAGCCAGCGGTGCCTTCTCCATGACCACCAGCAGCATGACGATGAAGGTTATGGCGGTGACACAGGCTTTCCTGTGGCTGGGATCACAGGATTATTCCTGCGTGTGTGTGCTGAGTGATTCTTTGAATATGATCCAGCGGGTCGAGGCAGGCTGGTTACGCAGACAGTGGCTTGAGTCGTTGCAAAATTCTCCTGTGTGTGCAACTACTTTCATATTCGTCCCAGGGTATGCAGGCGTTGTTGGTAATGAAAGAGCTGATAGACTGGCAGGCACTGCATTAACTGAAGATGGCCGGCCCATGGATCACGCAAACATTGTCATTGCCCATAGAGAGATAGGACGTTATAAGGATTTTGGAAGCAACGTGTCCACATCACTTCTAAGAATACGCGAATTGGGAGTAAAGATCGGCACAGCCAAACATGAGAAGCACACTGGACGCACACGAAATCTTGTTCACCAACATAGGACTGGTATTATTACCCGCACGACGCTGATGAATATGTTGAGAGGGGAATCTGAGCGCCTATAGATGTGTCCGGAGTGCTGTGAAGATATTCTAACTCATAACTCATTATTTCCCCACAGGAAGCCCATTAGAGATAAACCTTATTGTTCTTCTTTCTCACAGAAGCGCATTATAGATAAATCTGATTGTTGTTATATCTCACCAGAAGCGCATTATAGATAAATCTGATTGTTGTTATATCTCACCAGAAGCGCATTATAGATAAATCTGATTGTTGTTATATCTCACCAGAAGCCCATTATAGATAAATCTGATTGTTGTTATATCTCACCAGAAGCGCATTATAGATAAATCTGATTGTTGTTATATCTCACCAGAAGCGCATTATAGATAAATCTGATTGTTGTTATATCTCACCAGAAGCCCATTATAGATAAATCTGATTGTTGTTATATCTCACCAGAAGCCCATTATAGATAAATCTGATTGTTGTTATATCTCACCAGAAACCCTTTATAGATAAATCTGATTGTTGTTATATCTCACCAGAAGCCCATTATAGATAAATCTGATTGTTGTTATATCTCACCAGAAGCCCATTATAGATAAATCTGATTGTTGTTATATCTCACCAGAAGCCCATTATAGATAAATCTGATTGTTGTTATATCTCACCAGAAGCCTCTTAGAGAGAGAAATATAAACCTTGGTGTTGTTATGCCCCAACAGAATAACCTTAGAGAGCGAGAGAGAGAAAGAGAGAGAGAGAGAGAGAGAGAGAGAGAGAGAGAGAGAGAGAGAAAAAAGAGAGAGAGAGAAAGAGAGAGAGACACACACACACACAAACACACTTTACTTTCCTATAGTGGAGTGATACCTAACAGCTATGCTCCCCACTCCCCACTCCCCCCCCCTCCCCACTCCCCCCCCACTCCCCCCCCCAACCTTTCGCCCCACATGACAATGAAGAAAACAAGGACTGTTCTCTCGTTTATATTGTTTTAACCTGAAGATTTATGGCCGCGTGGTCAGTACTGTGACCACACACTGCGCATGTGGGAATTTTGTAGCTAACACAGAACAACATTTATGGTGGGACGACTTACATCTTCCACATCCTCCAAAGCAATATCAAGAGGCTGCATTTCCCAGTCATAGATTCTGGTTTTGCGTAGGACTTTGTTGAAATCACTGAACCGTAACGATTTTTCTGACCCCGAGCGTGACCTGTGTGTTCCCAGTAACACGTCCCTGGCCTCGCAGGATACACACGATGATTTCTTTCTATAAATGGCACCGCTGGACAGTTGAGGCTGTGTCGCTGTGTCACAGATTTCTTCACTGACACCTAAAAATGTTTCGGGTGTCAGCTGACTTGTGGCAGACCTAGACTTGTGACCATCCTTGATCTTCACACTATTTTTGTTTTTCTTTTTGATGCTGCCTTTCTTGCTGATGTTGGTGCTGACTAACTGTCCTTCCACGGTATGCCTCACCTCATATTTTGTGTTCACAGTTTTTGATAAACTGGCTCCCATGGTAGTCAAAGAGTGAGCCAAAAAGCACTGTCAGAAGCTTTTTCATGCACAATCTCACAGTGATATTTGTTTTAGTTGAGGAGATCATTCACACACTTTCCCATGGACTATCCTCTATGAAGTAAGAAATGTCTAATTGTTTTTAATGCAGGGTTAAGGTTTTATCACTTCTATACATTCAGCAATCTACTGGAGTCTACGGCTTCGTAGATCTAATCCTGTTTACGGCTTTATAAATATAATAAGTCTATGACATCACAAATCAAATACAATCTATGGCTTAAGAGATATAAACCTGTCTACAGCTTCGGAGATATAAACCTGTTTACAGCTTCAGAGATATAAACCTGTTTACAGCTTCGGAGATATAAACCTGTTTACAGCTTCGGAGATATAAACCTGTCTACAGCTTCGAAGATCTAAACCTGCCTACAGTTTCAGAGATTTAAACCTGCCTACAGCTTCGGAGATTTAAACCTGTCTACAGTTTCAGAGATTTAAACCTGCCTACAGTTTCGGAGATTTAAACCTGTCTACAGTTTCAGAGATTTAAACCTGTCTACAGTTTCAGAGATTTAAACCTGCCTACAGTTTCAGAGATTTAAACCTGCCTACAGCTTCGGAGATTTAAACCTGTCTACAGTTTCAGAGATTTAAACCTGCCTACAGTTTCAGAGATTTAAACCTGCCTACAGTTTCGGAGATTTAAACCTGCCTACAGCTTCAGAGATTTAAACCTGTCTACACCTTCAGAGATTTAAACCTGTCTACACCTTCAGAGATTTAAACCTGCCTACACCTTCAGAGATTTAAACCTGCCTACAGCTTCAGAGATTTAAACCTGCCTACAGCTTCAGAGATTTAAACCTGCCTACGGCCTCAGAGATTTAAACCTGCCTACGGCCTCAGAGATTTAAACCTGCCTACACCTTCAGAGATCTAAACCTGCCTACGGCCTCAGAGATCCAATACAGTTTTATCCTATGTCAGTGTACTCAGAATAGCCCTGATATCTGCAGATTTGCTATCACTCGCATCCACTGGACAGAGTATGTCTGCTATTGAAGAGAAGTCTGTCGTAACTGTTGAAGAGAAGTCTGTCGTAACTGTTGAAACCGAATATCTCTAGTTATATTCCAAAATGTTCAACCGATGACGCTTTTGCACATCGAATTGTCAATTTAGAGTAGTCGAAATAGTAGGACACTGCTATATGAGGTGAGGGTTCAAGCCAATGCTTCACCTATATGGAATAAAATATTAAGTGTCAGACAGTGAAGTAAACAATAACACATCAAATATCAGACAGTGAGGTAAACAATAACACATCAAATATCAGACAGTGAGGTAAACAATAACACATCAAATATCAGACAGTGAAGTAAACAATAACACATCAAATATCAGACAGTGAAGTAAACAAAAATACTCGAATACACGATTTTGGCCTTAATATGAACAAAATTATTCGTTACATAATTTGGGGTGCTGAAAACGAACGTGACACTGAATTCTATTGAATTTGAACTCTATTGGTTTGCAATGAATAATTTTTTTTCGCATCTCATTTTCATAAACAATTTTAAATGGGTGGTCTTAAGAATAATGTATAAGTGAACAGACTGAATTAGTGATTAGTGATTAGAAATGATTATCATCCCAGCACTCCGGACAGATCCATTGGTGCTCCGATCTCCTCCTCAAAAGCTCCACAAGTGTAAAACGACTGATGACGCTTGTTATACGTTAGTTAATAAAACCTCTTGTCCTCTTAGTAAAATGTTTATTTCTTGCAGCTACAGGCTGCACCCTTAAGTCCGTCAGTCTAAAGAGGGATATGTAGTCATGTCCTTTGGCGTGGTAAGTGCAGCGTATGGCATTGATAACATCACTTCTGTCCAGTACTGGACCAGTTTAGCAACTGCAGTGTCAGCAAGATAGTCTGCACGCTCGTTCCCTTGAACACTCACATAACTTCGCACAAAGATAAAGATTAGGGCAGATATTCGTGAAGCGCTTAGTGTTTCAATTCATTCTTGCCTGATAAATCCATCGTGGATTTTTTTAAAGCATATTCATCGAGTCATTAAGAAAGCATACGTGTATGAACCTTTGAGTACCAAGGTATGCTAAAGCTTATGTTACAGCTATAGTTTCCATTGTAAGGCTTCTAGTTGTAACAGCATGCTGGTTTTTCCCCTTGAGCTTACTGTGAAGGCCCATGCAATTAGCTTGCCCCTAATTACTGGCCCATCTGTGTAAACTACAGCATCACCTTCATCTGTGTTTTCGTCAAACAGTGTTCTGACTAAAGTGTCAACATATCCATTCATTTCAAAAATTATTGTCAGTAAGGCGGCAAACATGTTCGATAAGAACCTCAGCCCAACCCACCGATCCAGGATTTGCCACGTTTGAGTCTACTCTTTTTTTGTTGTTGTTGCTTGAGTAACTCTTTGCCTCTTCACTAATTGTTGACTAACAGTATAATTTTATGTTGTGCAAGTACACTAATAATATTAATCCCCAACCATTTGCTTTATGCTTCGCGAACACTGGATGTAAACTCTGGCAGAAACTTCTGGTTGTTCATTGACTTTTTATGCATATTTGCAGTTGTACGGTCTGTGTTAATTTTTGTAAATTTGCTTTGGCTTTGCGAACACTGGCTGTAAACTCTGGCGGAAACTTCTGGTTGTTCATCTACTTCTTATGCATATTTGCAGCTGTACAGTCTGTGTTAATTTTTATAAATTGGTTTCGGCTTGGTGAACACTGGCTGTAAACTCTGGCAGAAACTTCTGGTTGTTCATCGATTTCTTATGCATATTTGCAGTTGTACGGTCTGTGTTAATTTCTGTAAATTGGCTTCTACATATTAATTTCATATTGACTGTGCTTGTTTACTAATTATTAAATAACAATATAATTATATGTTGTAGTAGTCTACTAATAGTAATAATAACCATCAATCATTTATATTTATGCTATATATGACGTGTATTTTTCACAGCAGTATTTTTATTATTTGATATAGTACAAATGTCACACCCCCCCCCCCCTCCCGACCGGGCTCCTCTGATACAACAATACCCTCTCAGAATCAAAGAGTTAGCACTGATATTTCTTTACTTTTGCTGGAATAACTTTCAATTTATATCCAAACGTTATTGATGTTTATGTTCATGTTGACTGTAGCAAAAGAATTTTTGTTTGTCTATAAGAGCCCTTATTGTTATATTTAAATAGCACAATTATTTACCCTAAAAAATGATGTATAGTTCTTTAACATGTGTCGAAAATTAATGAAACTGTAGTTTTAATTTGTGTATACATCTCCTAGATAAAAACTGTGGACGCAGAGGGACTCCATTCTTGCACAAGAACGGGAATCCCCGTTGACCTGTTTGGCCTATAAATAGAGAAGGCGGTGGTTAACTCCACTGAAAGCGTTAAAATCTGAGGTTAGTCTTTCTCGTGCGTTAGAACAAAAAGATCATCTGAATGCATTTACTGAAAACTCACTTGCCTTTTCATTGGCGTATCTTACTCTGTTGTTGCTGTTGTTGTTGTGCAGCTTGGATAATTCTATGTTATAATGCCCTCAGAGCTTTTATGGGTAAAATGAAGTTGTGGAAGCAACGAACTGAGTCCAATAACTTTCATTATTGACATCAAAGGCTACTACCATTTTCTATTTTTAGGCTTGTGTTATTTTGGGTGCAGTGTCTCGCGGTGTAACCTCATGTGGCTAAATCTGGTTTACAAATTCTTCTGCCATTTACCTCAGCATTCATGCTGTGAATGTGGATACTTAGGTTTACCAGTCGTGCAAGCAAAACAGTGTTGCCTGCTTGGCGGGGAGCGTGATTTCCGCTGTGTCGTGTCCACATACATACAGATTACATCAGGACAAAACAGTGTTGCCAGCTTGGCGTGGAGTGTGATTTCCTCTGTGTCGTGTCCACATACATACAGATTACATCAGGACAAAACAGTGTTGCCTGCTTGGCGTGGAGTGTGATTTCTGCTGTGTCGTGTCCACATACATACAGATTACATCAGGACAAAACAGTGTTGCCTGCTTGGCGGGGAGCGTGATTTCCGCTGTGTCGTGTCCACATACATGCAGATTACATCAGGACAAAACAGTTTCAACCATCACGTTGATATTTAGACACTAAATTACCAGTTGTTGGTGACTGTTTCTTTTCTTGTTTAACACTTTGGTTTATGTGCATGTTTATTCACCAATTTCTTGTTATCAGTGATTGGAATTTTTCTTGTTTTCTTCGTTTTAATCAAAGTGTGCTGTGCCGGTGCGTTGGAGAGGTGGGTTGAAAAAGAGGGTGGGGCGGAAAATGGTGGGGGGAGGGGGGAGTAGGAACCTGGAATAAATACGTTGTATTATAGAACCTAATCTAAACACTCCTATATAGAACTACACGTCAACCTTGTTCTATAAAATTGTTTCTTCATTGTCCAACCTTCTTCTACAGAACATCTCCTCATTGTTCGACAGAGCGAACTCTCCAAACTGTTTTACAAAATCACAACGCATTATTGTCCTATAGAACCACATCTTTACATCGTTCTATAAAACTACATCTCCGCATAGTTCTATAGAACTAAACCTACACATTGTTCTATTAAACCACATCTCTAATTTATTCTACAAAACATCTCCACAATGTTCTTTAGAACCATATCGCATTATTTTATATAGAACCACATCTACACTTTGTTCTATAGAACTATATCACCACATTTTTCTATAGAAAAATTGCTCCACTTTTTCTACAAAATAACATTTCATCTTTGTTCTACAGAGCCACATCTCTACTTTGTTCTATAGGACAACATATCCACACCATTTTTCTATACAGCCACAACTGCACATCGTTCCACAGAACCAATTATCCATATGGTTCCATATAACCACATCTCCACTTTATTCTAGAGCACTACATCTCCACTTTATTCTATAGAACTACATCTCC